CCAGACTCAACGGGCTTGCACCGCTGGCCGGGGTGGCACACGTCCGTGTCAGTACACGTGTGCTCTCCCGCTCCGGCTGCTACAGCGAGCGCTGTCTGGTAAGTGGTCCACCCTATCGAGCTGTTGCAGTGCTGCTTCAGCGCTTGCAACGACGCGCGGAGTGCACGAGTGTTGGCCGCGTCGATCGCCGCCACCTTAGCTGCTGCCTGCTCTGCCGCGCCAGCATCCAGCATGGCCCGTACTCGCTCCATCAACACGGGGTCGTTCTGCATCAAATCCATCGCGCTGGAACGACGCTCCTCCGCAACCTGCGTACAACGTATCAGTAGTTTTTGGAGGAGTCGGGGGAACATATGAGTGAGCGGCAAATAAACACCACGGTAGCAGCGTCATTGCAGCAGTTACAGCAGTCGCCAAACCCGTGCAACTTTTAATGCGCTTTCTGTGCTTAAGATATCGACGTGGTGGAATGGACCTCAATTCTTGGGGGCAAAGAGGACGGGCAGCGCGTGTACCAAATTTCAAATTCAAGAACAGAGCAGCTGGCACGAACTGGCGCGCAAAGTAAAGCAGTCAATCAAGCACTCTGGAACACCTTTCAGCAGCACCTCAGAAGTGACTCAAAACTCACCGCTTCCTCCCTCGAAGTCTCTGGGGTAGCACCGCTTCTGGTCCCGCCATCATGAGCCAATGCTAGAGGGTCGGAGAGAGCTGCGTCCGCCCCCTTGCGCTTCGCCTTCTTCGCCGCAGCAGATGAAGCAGCAGCAGCAGCAGCAGGCTGTCGTTTCCCGCGTTTCGATGCTCTCTCTCGGATGCCTTCAACGTGCTCTCTACCCTTTTCGAGGAGCTCAACTTCATCAGCAACCACAGATTGCACAGGTTTTCCAGCTGCCTCGGTGGTACCCTTTCTCAACAGCTGGCTGATTAGCAGTATCCCGCGGATGTGGTTCTTCCGCTGCTGTCTCACTACCCTCTCTTCCCCTCGGATTTCGATTGTGCGGTCTACCTCCATGAGGCTGCCACGAGCCACGGCCAGGCCCAAGTCGGGACGGCCGTCCTAGAACGAGATTAGGTCTGATGACCTCGAGAGTGGTCTCCTCTGTATGTAATTCGACCAAGCGGAGTCGATTGCCGTGGAGAACAAGGCTTGCGTCGGCGATGTTTGCGGTGAAACAGGATGCGCCGCATCGTTTATCTTGAAAAATGTGGGGGAGATTTTTTTTTTTTTCGTGTTTTTTTTGTCGTCGGTTGGTCTCGCCGAAACGTTTCTAGAACCGGTCTCCATTTTTCATACCGACGAAAACTCGTTCTAGGACGCAATTCTCCGGCATATACCGGAAGGCGCCCTAGGAACGAAGTCAATCAACCGATATCCACGCCGAAAACCAGATATTCCTGTAGGCTCGATAAAAACAAGATCTATGTGTATTGGGCGAAGTGCATATGCACAAGTAGCTACACGCCGCTTGTACGCGGCCATCCAACACGCACAAACTGGGGTCAGTGCGAAGAATTTCGGCGTTTCGCCTTGTCATAAAAAGTTCTGAAGCCCCCGTTTTTTTTAGGGGAAGGGGTTCAGTTTCTGTCCCCTCTTTCCCTGTGTACACTATACATTCAGATGTGAAAAATGAAGAGAAGAGGCTGCTATGCATACCATCGTAGGCATGGTATGAACAGGCCAAGGGGTTAGCCTCCGTATGACAACGACGTGTGCGTCATGGTTGAAACAGGAACGTATGCATACGTGCTGGGCTGCCAAGGGCGTGCCTCGAGTCGCTCTCACCTCTCACCCACCAACACAAAAAACGTATTTCATCAATAAGAGTATCTTTCCACCGAAGCCACGATGTGCCATTACCTAGTGTAACGAGCACTCGAATCTGTTGCGGTCGGAAAGGCATCCATCTGGCGTTCAAATCGTGGGGAGTATGTAGCAAAGTCGCGCGTGTGCGCCCTTATGTGACTACACCCACGAATGAGCTCCTTTCCCAGCTCCGATGACTCTTTAATGCGACATTATCGAACCGAATTGAGCTGTGGATACCTGCGTCGACGAGGGCTCGACTGGACGAGTAGACCGTCGAGAAGGAACATTATAACGACGGGGATAGCAGCACAGCAGCAGTAGCGTCCCCTACACAATGGTACCCGCAGAGACCGGGGTGCTGCTGCGCCGCGGTCTTCCTTTTTTCGCAAGGTTCCTGATCTCGGGTAGGGGCTGCGGCTCTGCTGCCCCGAGTTGACAGTAGCGCTGTTCTACCGGGCTGCAGCAGCCGTGGCGTCGGGAAGTTGGTCTGGCGTGGAGTTCGCGATGGCCAGCAGCTCATCCCAGACAACACGTGGACCCGTCTCGGGATGCCATTGGTGTGCCATGTGCTGCCAAAACTGAGCAACTTCCTCTGGGTCCATGATGATGGTAGTGATTGGGTTACTTCTGCTGCTGCTGTTGTGCCTAAAGGTAGAGAGGTAGGAGCGGCAAGGAGACTATCGTCCCCGGCCACTTTTCGCTCACAATAGCAAGGGTTTTCGGGACTACAACTCTGAACTCTGATCACAGCTCCGATCTTTCCCCTCTATCTGTAGTATAGAAATTGATAATTTGGCACGATTTTATTCTATTTGACCCGATATTCAGTTCACGCCCAGCTCGTACAGCAGTCACCGATGAGAGCCCTGATGTGTGTTGGTCTGCTGTTACATACCAAAGATTTGTGTGAGCAAGGGAGCGGCGTGTGGATGCGACCATGTGTACTCGAGTGCATGTGGGAGATACCGGTAGGGTGTGTAGAGAACGGGAGACGGTGGTTGAAATATTTGTGTTCCACAGCCTTGGCCTTGATGATGTCAGCGGTCTCTTCGCCCAGTGTAGAAAAAAAAGACCCTCGGAAGATCCAGGGAAAACCCAGTCACATAAGGGTTAGAAGAAACGAAAAAGGCACGGCCCGGCTTGTCAGTTGCAAACGCAAAATATCGTTTTCGTGTCGAGTCAGTGGTAACGGTCTCCTCGCTTTGGCCTGCACGCCATGCACTTCACTCACGAAACCACACATCAAGTGGTAATTGTCAAGGACCCGCTGTCAGGCATCTTGATTAATTTCTCTGTTGTTGTTGTTGTTGACTTCACATTAGGAAATCTCGATTTGCGGGGGCCCAACCACCTCAGTGAAAAAAAATATACTTCCTCCGATTCTAAATATAAGGGTGGTTTGGAAAATTCATAATATAAGGGCGGTTTGAGGGTTATTGGCAGAAACGTGCCATTTGGGCAAGGTTGTTGTTGTTGTTGACTTCACATTAAACCGTATGCCAGTTGCTAAATGCCAAAATCTAGCAAAGACTCTCAGCCCGTGGTCACGAAAGTGCTAGAGCCATCTGAGGATCTAAAGAAC